TGTTCTCCTTATGCCCTTTCTCAACTCCTCAGCTTTCTGACTCACCCCTATGCAGGTGCACAAGCTGTGTGCACACATGCACGCCCATGTGCTCCCATGAACACATACACTTCGTAAATGTCACAGGCAGCTGTGAACCAATCTCCCTCTACACTCCATCTGCCAGAAGCTATTTTAAGCACCTAATAAAACTGTTTTAGAAAGATTCCTGGGGTGATCTGCCCTTTGCTTCCCCAGGGCAAGAGCAATTATGCTCCAAATGGAGCTAAACTTTGCTACAGAGCCAAGACAGGAGAAAAAGACCCAGTGACCCACGGTGAGGAACGTTTATGTCCTGTGAGGATTGTGGGTAAAGAGGAAGGATGGATGGGTCTGGGCATGGGCATTCTGACCCCTGTTCTGAACCTAACTGTCCAGGTTCCCTTGAGCTAACATCTAAGTCTCTCCACCTCAATGATGAAGAAGTGGGTGACTCCTCAGTCTGGGGGTTTTGAGGCTTGAGCAGGCAGTCATCAAAATATCCTGAAGGCATTACATCACAAAGCCTGAGATTCCTATTCACTAAGTGTGTGGCGAGTCTTGAAGATTTAAATTTCTAGCACAAGTTCCCAGGATATGGTGGGTTCTGGGACATTCTGTCAGCCATTGGCCTAACTCCTAAGCTCGTGGTGAGACATGAGTACAGCATTAGGCACATAGTAAGCCTTGGCTGTGCATGGAATCACCTGGGGAGATTTAAAACTCACGATGCCAAGCACCACAGGCCAAAGTCTCTAGAGATGAGATACAGACATTGCTTCTGAATTCACAAGCGTGTTTTTGTGTGTGTGTGTGTGTGTGTGTGTGTGCACGGAGGCTCACATGTGCACATACTCACATGCACATAAGCAATGTGGAGGCCAGAGGTCAAAGTTACATGTCTATTTTTGAGATATAGTCTGGTGCTGGGGCTCCGACTCAGGTCCTCATGCTTTGTGTGGCAAGCATGTTATAGACGGAGCCGTCTCCTCATCCCCTAAATATTACTTCTTATTCAAACCCCTAGTGAATTACATATGCAGTCAAGATTGAGAGACCATACTAAGAGAGAGCTTGATACTTTTTGTGTGTGTGCCCACGCACGCACGCATGCACGCACGCATGTATTATTTGTTCTGTTTTTGAGATAAGGTCTTGTTGTGTAGCCCAAGCTTGCTTAGAACTCCAGATCTCTCCTCCCTTCAGCCCCTCAAGTGCTAGGATTATAAGTGGGAGCCACCACACCTGGTTTGTAGAGCTCAATAAATTTTTGTTTGTTTGTTTTCGAAACAGGGTTTCTCTGTGTCGTTTTGGTGCCTGTCCTGGATCTCACTCCGTAGAGCAGGCTGGCCTCGAACTCACAGAGATCCACCTGCCTCTGCCTCCTGAGTGCTGGGATTAAAGGCGTGCCCCAACGCCACCCGGTGAGCTCAAATTTGAAACGCCCTGTCTGAGATACTCGACCCCCCTCCTCTCAGGATCTTCCTCCTTCTTTCTCCAGGGCTCTATGTTCCACTGAAGCGCCCACAGGGAGAACTGGAGGGAGGCTTTCTTTGGCTTTGGCACCTAGAGAGATTACAGAAGATCACACGGAAGAGAACAGCCAGTTCACATATGCCCAGCCATATACACCCGTAATCGTAGCACTAGGGAGGCTGAGGCAGGAGGACTGCCAGTTCAAGGCTAGCCTGGGTTACATAGTCAGTCAGACCATGGAGGTGGGGGGCTGCTTCACCTATTCAGTGGCTTAACCACTCAGTTGGATGGTGCTTTACTCATTCATCAACAACCAGGCTGTGGTGCCTGTAACCACAAGGTACCCGGAGGATACAGGGGTGAATAAAACCCAACCGTATCTGCAGGAGTTTATAGTATAACACAAAACATGTAAAGTAATAGTGTAAGATTTGGAAAGGTCCAACTCTGCCTCCCAGTCAGTCATCCCATTCCCACTGAAGTGTCAGAAAGTGCCTTACCTCACAAAGCACCCCAGCCATCAGCTTAACAACTCTACATGTTAGAAAGAGCTTCCTCAGACAAATGGAACCCATTGCCCGATAACCCCCACGCCTTAGCTCTAACTCCGGCACCCCTCATCCCAGGCTTCATTTCCCCCTTCTAGACTGACGTCTCCTGCTCTCTCCCTTGGCAAGGAGAGGGAACAATAGGGAAACCGAGGCACTTTCCTTACTGACTACCATCAGCGAGTCAGGGCAGCATAGTGGTCCTTCCTACCAATGAGCTCACCAGTCACTGAGAAGAGAAAGTCAGCACACACAGAAATAGTTACCAGTGGACCAGATGCTCTGTAACCTGAACCCTCACGCCTATGCTCGACAGCTAACCCAGCCTCTGCCTGACCCAGGCCATGCTCTCAGGGGTCTTCACCAGCTTCTGTGGATTGTGAGTGGCTTAGAGACACAAAAATCACAGGAACTAACCACAGAGCAAAACTGTACAGCCTGCCCACATGCGGATTTTAATGAAGCTGATGAAATCAATGTCAGGCATCTATTTCAATCACCTGTGAAGCTACTAAAAAAATGTAAGGATCTGAGGAGACCAATTATATTAAAGAAGAAGAAAAAAATAAACAAGGATCATGACATAAGAGTCACCTTGAAAGGAAATGATGTGAGGATCAAAAGTCAAGAAGAGTGTATGGGAAGGACCTGCAGCCGTATATTGTACTAACACAAAGACTTTCTCTAGGATTCTGCTCCAGGGCTAGAGAGATGGCTCAGCAGTTAAGAGTGCATACTGCTCTTGCTAAGGAAGACCCAGGTTCAAATGGGGAAACAGAGGAGATCCCCATGAGTAAACTGGGGATGAGGGGGAGTAATAGGGGGAGGGGACGGGTTATGAGAACATAAGGGAACGGGATGGTTGAGCTGGGGGAGGGACGGAGTGGGAGAGCAATAAAAGAGATGCCATGATAGAGGGAGACATTATGGAGTTAGGGAGAAACCTGGTGCTTGGGAAATTCCCAGGAACCCACAAGGATGACCCCAGATTAGACTACTCACAATAGTAAAGAGGGTGTCTGAACTGGCCTACCCTGGTAATCAGATCAATAAATACCCTAACTGTCATCACAGAGCCTTCATCCAGTAACTGATGGAAGCAGATACAGAGACCCACAACCAAGCTTAGCCTTAAGCTCCAGGAGTCCAGTCGAAGAGAGGGAAGAGGGATTATATGATCAAGGGGGGTCAAGATCATGATGGGGAAATCTGCAGAGACAACTGAACCAACCTCATAGGAACTCACGAACATTAGACCAACAGCTGTGGAACCTGCATGGGACCAGACTAGGCCCCCTGCATACGGGAGACAATTGTGTAGCTGGATCTGTGTGAGGGGCCCCTGGCAGTGGGATCATGATCTATCCCTGGTGCATGAGCTGGTTTTTTGGAGCCTGTTACCTATAGTGGGACGCCTTCCTCAACTTTGATGCAGTGGGGAGGGGCTTGGTCCTTCCTTAACTGAATGTACCAGGCTTTGCTGACTCCCCATGGGAGCCATTACCCTTTTGGAGGAGGGGGTGAAAGGTGAGTTGGGGGGAGACTGGGGGGAGTGGGAGGAGGGATGAGAGGGGATCTGTGGTTGGTATGCAAAAAATCAATAAAAAATTTTTTTTCTAAATGAAGAAAAAAAACAAGTTTGATCCCCAGCACCCACAGGGTAACACACACAACCCCCCTGTAACTCCAACTCCAGGGAATCCTCACCCATAAGTACCACAGGCACCTGCATGCACATGCATATACCCACACACAGACACACACTCATACACATAATTTGAAATAAAATAATTTTCAAATAAGATTCTGCTTTGAAAGTCAAGAAGAAATAGAGTCCATTGTTTGCTAAAGGAGTCTATTGTTAACCAGTAAAAGAACTTCTATATTGTGTCCAAGGCGCTTGTGATAATCAATGATAGATTAAGGAGAGTGTGGGTTAAGAGCTGGAGAACCCAGAGATTCAGAAAGCCTTTGCCATGAGAAGGGAGCAAGCTTGTTTTTGAGGAAGACAGGCACCATGGCCACAGCCACTTGTCTCCTTTCTCCTCAATAGACACCACTGTATTCTAGTCAACTGATGCCCAGAATGCCCAGGCAACCGATGCCCAAGTACCAGTTCTGTGCCAAGCATACTGAAAATCAAATTGCAGTGCTTATGGTCAACATCTCAAGAGCATAAACATGGCGATGGATCCTGCCACGGCCGATGAAGGCTGAGAACTGAAGGAGCTCTCGGTGGTGAAGGAAGCCAGGCAGGCCCCGTGGCACTTCCAGCCCAGCACACAGAGTGTGCTTGCCAGTCAGCCTGTGCCCAGGGGCCTCAGCAGGTCTTTCACCAGAAGGGAACAGGGAAGGGCAAAAATCACGCTTGAGAGAGAAGAAGGTCAACAGCAATCAACCTTACCCTCCATACTGATGTTCCCATGAGAAGAAAAGGATTTCCTACCTAGCACCCCACCCATCCCACCTCCAGCCGGACTCCAGAAGATGAGCAGGTGGGTGGATAAAGCAGAACCCCTAGTTGGGTATAGAACTCACTACTTTCACAGAGAAGAAATAGGACAAGATCAAAATTAAGGGGAAAATAGTTATGAGTCTGTACATGGGGGGGAGGGCGGGTACAGCAAGGGGGCGTAGTCGCTGTGATCCCTGCCCGTCTGAGGACCAAAGACCCAGCTCTCTCTCCTTCAACTGCCTCTCTGTGTTCTCACCAGTCCCCAGTGAGTGACAGGTTCTGGGAAGCCCAGACCCTAGCCTGGGAGGCAGCACAGGTGTGGGAGTCTGAGCACAGCTGGTAGTCCCTCACTTCCTGTTGATCCCAGGAAGGAGCTTTGGACAGCCCACCTTCACCCAGGCATCCTAGCCTCTGCTCTCATGGTTATTATTAAAATGATCTCATTTATTTTACTACTTGTTTGTTTATTTATTTATTTGCCTTTTTTTTTTTTTTTTTTTTTTGAGACAGGGTTTCTCTGTGTAGCTCTGGCTGTCCTGGAACTCACTGGGTAGACCAGGCTGGCCTCAAACTCAGAGATCCATCTGCCTCTGCTTCCCAAGTGCTGGGATTAAAGGTGCATGTCTCTACTCCCAGCTACTTTATTTTATTTTAAATTGTGGCTACACACACACACACACACACACACACACACACACACACACACACGCGCGCGCGCGCGCATCATCTAGCCACTTGTGGTGGTACACACCTGTAATCCCAGCACCCAGGAGACTAAGCCAGGAAGATCAGGAGTTCCTGGCCATCCTGGGCTACATAAAATATATATATTCCAAACCCTCTGTAAGTGTATGCAAATATTTACAGTGAACCAGCTGCCTTACAATCTGAAGCCTCTTGCCTACACTTTCCTCCTAGCCCAGCCTCCGCTTGACCTAGCCTATGATGTCAAAAATCCTTGCCAGTGCTAATGTGCACGCGACAAACCACTTTCCCGATCATCTTTCATCTTAAAACCTCAAACTGGGTCACAAAACAGCTCCTTGCTGTCTCCTGCGGCCGGAGTCACAGCCATTCTACCTCCTGTCATTACAGATCTGGCTATTCCGGGTACCTCCCTTGCAGATGGACTCAAATCGTATTGTTCCTTTTGTGGCTGGCTTATTTCACTTAGCACAATGTCCTCAGGGTTCACGTGTGCTGTGGCAAGCCTCAGAACTGTCCTCCTTTTCCGGGCTGATCATGATCCCCTTGTGCAGTCACGTGGTGTCATATTTATCCACTGTCCATCAGTGTACAGGACTGCTTTCACCTCCTGGCTCCTGGCTCCTCCCGACTGCTTTCAGTTCCAGAGGGTGAACACTCAGGGGCAGGATTGCTAGATCACTTTGTTAAACGTTTTTAATCGTGGAAAGAGCGGCCATTCTGTTTTCCACAGGGGCTGCCCCATTTTACATCCCGTCCACACCACACAGGAAGGATTCCCCTGGCTGTAGCCTGCTTTGTATTTTAAAAAAATAGTTGAGAGCCAAGGGCTCCCCAGACCTCGGGGCTGGAAATGACAACCCAGGACCTCAGCTGCTGTTCCAGCCCCTTCTCTGACTCTCTTCAGAGAACCCCTCACCACACACACACACACACACACACACACACACACACACACACACACACACTTCTGGAGGAATCTCCTGCCGTTACTCAGCTCCTGAGGTATCATGCCTTCCAGCAGGCTCGGGAGGAATAAAGAAAATGAAGGCCTTGAGGGCAATGAATAAAACAAACCCTTAAGAGCATGGCCACCCACTCCTGTGCTCAGCAGGCAGGCGGGAGGCGTCAGGAGACAGGTGGGATCCCATCCTCCTGATCTTGCCACAGTGATGCATGGTCCAAGACTTGATACGGAGATGAAAGAGGAAAGATCGAGGCCTGTAAAATGTCTCAGCTGGTAAAGGTGCTGGCCACCAAACCTGATGGCGTGAGTTCAAGTCCCAGGACCCAAGGTGAGTCCTAACTCCGTGTTCTCTGACCTCCACATGTGTGCGTGCACACACATACAAACCCGCCGAATATTCAAGTCTTAAGTGTAATAATTATTAGTCATCATTGTTGATGACTTTTTTGTTTTGGTGTTTGCTGATTCCTTGACTTATTTATTTATTTTATGTATATGAGTGTTTTGCCTGTATGTATGTTTGTGTACTGTTCGCATACCCAGTGCTGAAGAGACCAGAAGAGAGCGTTGGTCCCTGGAACTGGAATTACAGGTGGTTTGTAAGCCTCCCGGTGAGTGCTAGGAACTGAACCCTGATCCTCCGCAAGAACATTTACTCATAACCGCCAAGCCTTATCTCCAGCCACGACTTTCTTTTTTTCTTCTTTTTAAATCTTTTAGGCTGACGGGAAAATTGAGCAGAAGGTACAGAATTCCCACATAGCACCCCCTCCATGTCGTGTCCTCCTCAGTGTCCAGCCTCAGGGTGAGCCGACTATACAGCCTTCAGGGACACATCACTGTCACCCAGCGCTCACTCTCAATGCTTCTGTGCCTTGCTTGGGTTTGGGCAAATGTATGACGTCACGAGCCAACCACGGCAGTGCTGCCCAGGGCAGTCTCACTGCCTGAAACTCCACTGTGCTGAGGTGGAGAGCATGAACCTCATTCTGTGGACGGAGAACCTGAGACACAGAAAGTGTTTGTGACTTACCCTGTCTCAGGCCCAGAGTGTGGACCAGAGTCCAATGTTTCCAGAGCTATGGCCTCTGTGGCCTCTGGTACCTCCTTCGTTGTGGCAAGTGGTGAAATCTGTCCCCAAGCCACAGCTCACAAGGGGCAGTGTGGAACAGGGGACTAAGATGCTTCCCTGCTCTGGTGGAAACCCCAGGCTCTGACGGCCTTTACCATCCTCTTGATGCCAGGGAGAAAACCTGGGATCGTTCAGGCAGAGACGTCGGAACAGAAATCCTCCTGAGTTTGGCAGGAAACCCTGCCGCCCAGGGCTCCTATAGACTGCACCAGGTTTGAGAATCCAAGTCTTCCCTGCTCCTGGCTGCAGGGCCCCCAAGTCCAAACTCAGCAGGGCACAGCAGTCTTCACTGTGCTGGGAGGGAGATGGCTGCAAGCCTTAGAGCGGCTGTGTATTTGATGCCACAGGGTCCGGCCTGGAGACTGCCGTGCACAGTTCTGCCCACCTGGCCTGGCCAGAGCTGAATTCTGCTCCCAATTCCACCTGACTCCCTAAAGTCGGTGTGCCTGGCACTAAGGAATTCAGAGTATTAATGCCCCGACTCATGAGCCTTCCTACTGGGGAATAACCTCACCACCATGGCTCTGTAAGCAACCCTGACTCCCACCATAAACTCACAATCATTCTTAAAATTCACAATAAGGGGGCTGGAGAGATGGCTCAGCGGTTAGTTGTTCTTCCAGAGGTCCTGAGTTCAATTCCCAGCAACCACATGGTGGCTCACAACCATCTGTAATGAGATCTGGTGCCCTCTTCTGGCCTGCAAGCATGCATGTAGGCAGAATACTGTATACATAATAAATAAATCTTTAAAAAAAAAAACCTCACAATAAGCCAGAGTGAGAAGGGAAGCCACCACCCCACACCTGCTGGCACAACCAGAGTACTGATGCTAATGCCCAGCCTTAGCACCTTCATCATCCCAGCACCTAACATTACAGACCCTTTCCCCGTCCACAGCTCAATACTGTCAGGTGGGCAAGGCAGCATTTCTCTCCCCAGATAACAGATAGATAGGAAACCCCAGTCTCAGAGACATTGGATAATATACTCAAGGTCACACAGCGGAGACCCAAATCTAGGCCTCTTCCTGGTAATGCACAGACTTCTTTACTGCTGGCAAAGCTGCTCCCCAGGTCCAGGCAAAGCACCGAGCTACTGAGCTCTGATGCTTACAAACTCAAACGCACATAATAAGAGAAAAAGCACCCCCTCGGGGGCAGGGGCTCTAAAGTTCTCCGAGGGGTCAGGCTCCTCAGACTCCCTCTCTCATTGGCCACCCTGGAGACTAGACAGCATCCAGGACGGAAAAGATGAGCAAATGCCAGAGAGGAGGAGAGCTGAAGCCTACTCGGCCTTCCTCTGCCTGCTGCACACACTAGGGTTCCCCCGGAACCCCCCATTGGAGGACTCCAGAAGGTCAATGGAGTAACCATCGGGAGCCACATGCAATCTCAATTAGGAGGAAATCAAAGGCAATTATCATAGGCTCCATGGGAGACATGCGTTACAGAACTGAAGCCACCAGCCGGCAGTCAGAGGCTGGACAAGACCTGTTCAGCGGTGCTGGGCCCTAGGGCTCGGAGACTGCTCCAAGTCCTGCCACAGGCTGCCCTCTGGATGTCTGGGTTTCCGCACAGGTGTGAACAGCCATCTTTATCTCCCTGTGGGGCAAACGAATGTGGAGAACACAATGCAGTGCAAAGCTCCATTCAGTCTGGACTTTGGCTTTCAAGTGAGACTGGAAAGATGTGGGCAGATGAGGCTCAGCCGCTGCTCTGGCTTTTCCTGCTCCGCCGTGTGCGCATCTGCATACAAGCACCTGCGGACTCCTCAGAAAAGACAGTCGCCAAGTACCCCACACCAGCGCAGCACTCGGTTGTGTGCGGCCCACTCCCCTTTCCTCTCGCCCTGGTACTTAGATACCGGCTCCAGAATCGCAGGTGACCCAGGGAAGCCTGCAGGTCTTGCCCTCTCCTAGGACTTCCTGTTTGAGCCATGCTCTTCAGTGATTCAGTCAAGAAGACCAGACCGGTGACAGAATTTCTCTTGCCAAAAAACCTAATGTGAGGTGAAATGGGATTAATGACTGCAGTGTCTAGACAGCAAATAATAAGCCTGAAACTGCACTGGCTAGTCTTCACCTTGCTTGACCTGAGAGTCACAGTCTGGAGAATTAGAGCTCCTTCGGTATGGGGTGGGGCTAGGTAGGACCAGGATGTATGGTGGCCTCTGAGACCCAGAAAGCCGTGGAGAAGAAAGGAGGAAAGTTCTCAGCTAACACTTAGAACCGCACGTGTGAATTAAATAGGGAGGTGTGTTTCCACTGAACAAAATGGGAATGCTTTCTCTCTAAAATTTTCATCACATTTATTGTGCATGTGCATGTGCATGTGCACACACCTGGCATGGATGTACGGAGGTCAGAGGACAACTTGCTGGAGTCACTTCTCTCTTTCCATCATCCAGATGCCGGCACTGAACTCAGGTCATCAAGCCTGGTGACAAGGGCCTTCACCCACCAAGCCATCCTTCAGCCCAGGGGAGACTTTATCTAACAGACACACTAGCTAACACGGGGCTCCTGGGAGGTGACAGCTGCAGTTTGAATATGTACTCGAGCAGTGCAGACAGCACTCAAGCTGCAGAGTCCAAGGCTTTTTGCCTTGGTTCCTGGCTCTGTTATTTACTAATTGTGCGACCTTGAGCAAGTCCTCGAAGCTCATCGTCACCATTGGTCCGTGCGTGTGACAGGTTTGAGCTCACGTGCGGTTAGTGCACAGAGAGCAGGATGCCTCCGAATGTAAGCCCGGACAGATTTCAGCAAAGGCGGCTTCTAACTGGGGAATGCTAACAAAGGACGTCCCTCCTGGCTGGGGACAGGCTAGACAATCACCGCAGGTCAAAGGACATCTAGATTAATTCACTCTTTTATTTATTTATTGTTTTTACCACTCAGTGTATGAGCTACTGTGGCAGAATCCATGCTAGATCCTGACTGGATGAGAGAACAGAAACTGCCCTCCACTCTCTTCCCTCCCTAGCACGCAGTACACATACTGCCCCCAACACACCTCACCATACTGCAACACTGAGCCCATGCCAAGCATGAACGGAGCTAATGGCTTTTCGCTCACTCTGGTCACTGCTCCCGACTCACATACCATCTCACTGGTTGTCTCTGGGCTCTTTTAAGAAAATGTTTTATGTTTTGAGTGTTTTCCCTGCATGTATGTCTATGAACCACATGTGTGCCCGGTGCTTACAGAAGCCAGGAGGTGTCGAATCCCCGGAGCTGGAGTTATAGCTGCTTGTGAGTCACCATGTGGGTGCTTGGAATTGAACTCAGGTCCTCTGGAAGAGCAGCCAATGCTCTTAATTGCTGAGCCATCTCTCCAGACCTGCCTCTGGACTCTTGATCTATCTGTAGCAGCAAGGTCTCTCTGCCTAGTTCATCAGGAATCTAACCTTCGGCAAAGAAGCAAGCAAAGACCAAAGGCCGGCAGACCCCCATCACTATAAAAATCACTGGTTGATGGTAGCCTTATTCCACTGGGAATGCCTGTTCTAGGAGACTGTGAAACCCTTCCATGTCAGGGAACTCAAATCACTGGTTGGCTGGTGGTACCAAATCATGAGCTCAGGGTTGATTTCTCCTTCAGAAAGTTGGACATTCAAAAATGGCAGTATCTAGGTAAGTCTCAGTGAGTCCATGTGGTTAAGCCCAAGCTGCTCCCTCAGCTGAGTCACCAGAACCACTGTTTTGCAGCAGACTAAACAAACCCTGTGTCACTGGTGATGAATATTAACGGACAGGCAAAAAGTGGGCCATCTTGTCTACCCGGTTACCAGTAATAATTCAGTGGATATCGACAGTGCTCACTCCAAGAGGCTCATACACAAACCCTTTTTCCTAAAAGTCCCTATCACCAAGCCCTGAATCTTACCCCTCCCAGATTCAGTCCATCTGGCTGAATCATTCACAACGCAGAGGAATCAGTGAGACCCTTGCCTCGGGCTATCTGTCTTTCCGAGTAAATGAATCAACAACCCGTTGTGGCCAACTGGCAGATTTCTGTTTTCTACCCCATGGCTACTCCTGAGGAGAAATAGTACTAGAGTTGTTTACTTTGAGCGACTATCACCATGTCATAAAGAGTTCTGCAAAGCCATCTCTGTCTTCCTCCTTGGTCATTCTCCACGCAGCCACAGTGTCAGTCAAAACCCACTGGTCTCCATCCTCGCCTTCCCTGTGAAGAGTGACAAACAGAGTCACTGTTAGATGTGTCCTGTCATGAAGACCCACAACACAGCCCAGTGCCCAACCGTGTTTTTCTTTTGTCTTTTTCTCTTTTCTTTGATCCTCTGACCTCTCCTTATCCTTCCAGAAATGTCCAGGTTTTCCATAGCCAGTTTCTTCTTTTTTTTTTCAAAGAAAAAAGTATAAAATATATTTCTAAATAAGATGGTACAGAACAAATTCAGTTTTAAAAAGTTGAATATTTCAGTTATTATTTACATAATAATTCCATCACAAATTCTATTTTACATTTTTTTACAGTTTACAGCCACAGTAAATGCCTGTGTGAAGGTCAGAGGGAACTTTCGGGAGTCTGGTCTCTCCTACTATGTGGAGATCGAACTCCGGTCTTCCGGCTTGGAGGCAGGTGCCTTTACCCTCTGGGTTAGCTCATGTCAAAAGTCAAAATTGCTTTATCGAATGGCTCTGATTTTTTTTTTGCATTATTGCTATTACAAGCTGGATGACATTCATATGAATTTCTTCATAGTAAGTATATTTCGTTTATTTATGTACTTGGCATCCATTATGTTTAAATTCTGGTGTTTTGTTTTGTTTTTGTCATTCGAGACAGGGTTTCTCTGTGTAGTTTTGGTGCCTGTCCCGGATCTCGCTCTGTAGACCAGGCTGGCCTCGAACTCACAGAGCTACGCCTGCCTCTGTCTCCCAAGTGCTGGGATTAAAGGCGTGCGCCACCGCCGCCCAGTGCATAACTAGTTTCTACTGCTTGCAATAAATAACTATAGGTTAGGGATGTGCGCAGTGGCAGAGCACTTGCCAAGAGGGCACAAGACCTGCTTTCACCCCCAGAACCACAAAAAACAAAACAGAAGCAGAAAACCAAGGAATTGTTCCTTCATCATTCGTGATCAAAAACGATTTCTTTTGAAAATCATTTCCGGGGCTGGAGAGACGGCTCAGCGGTTAAGAGCACTGACTGTTCTTCCAGAGGACCTGAGTTCAATTCCCAGCATCCACATGACAGCTCACAACTGTCTGTAACTCCAAGATCTGACGCCCTCACACAGACATGCATGCAGACAAAACACCAATGCACGTAAAATTAAAATAAATAAAAAAGGAAAAACAAAATGTTGTTCTGGAGCTGAAGATACAATTCCAGGAAGACGGGAGAGCCCAAGGCTTTGGCTCCACACGCTGAGGGGCGGGTGCACTTTGGTTAGGAGAGACTGACCACGTACCCCAGCGGCCTAGGTCATCTATGTCATAAGCTCCTGAAGGACGCTTGGGTGCGGCTACGCAGCTGCCAGGCCTTCCTCCTCACACCTCAGGTCAGTTTGAGATTTCTGTCTGGAGGTTTAGATTCCAAGGAATGCTCAGCTAACAAACTCCCCTGGAAGTTCACTGACAACAAGGTACCTGAATTGGCCAGAGGATGATGTTCATGTCCCCGTGGACACCCTGAACAGAGTACATAGAGCCGCTGCAAAAAAAAAAAAGAAAAGAAAAGAAAAAAAATCATTTCCTTATTTCTTGTCTCTGCCACTAAAATAAAAATTGCAAATCAGCAGAGGTCTTTTTCTGCTTACCTCCTGCCACCCCCTAAAGGGAGGCAGAGTTCGGACACGTGGCCTGTGTCTTACCCTCCATGCCCTATGCACTGAATACCTGTGGGAAGGAGTGGTAAAGGAGAGCCCCATGGAGCCTTTCCCAGGAGAGCAACTCCAGTTTCAAATTCCAAACCGCAGATTCCAAGACCAGCTCTCTCTTCCCTTCCCCTGTAATCTCACCAAGCCTGGGTAAATCTCAGGCGGAGTGTTGTAAATCTTTAATTACATGAAGATTGCAACCCAACCAGCGAACACACAAACAGTGTTGATAAATATTTAAAATTGCTACAGCAGCAGATCTGAAGGGATTAAGAAAAGATATATTGGAGTGACAGTTATTAAACACTAAATCCCTGTAAATGTTACAGAGCAGATAAATACGCAAACTCCTGACAGGCACTCTGCTCTGCGGCTGAAAGATGGGGAGGGGGCATCTGTTCAGGGGCATGGTGTCAGGGGAGGCAAGGGGATTGGGGAAGGGGCAGTCACTGGCGGCGGGTTCTCCGGCCCTGGCCCTCGGAAGCATTTCCTGCCTCAGTCCCCTCAACTACTGTCTCCTTGGAAGTGCAGTGGACAGTGGGATGGAGAAACAAAAGGAAGGAAGGAGAGACAGAGGGACAGAGGGACGGAGGGACAGAGGGACAGAGGGACAGAGGGGCGGAGGGAGGGAGGGAGGGAGAGATGGAGGGACAGAGGGACGGAGGGGCGGAGGGATGGAGGGAGGGAGAGATGGAGGGACAGAGGGACGGAGGAACTGAGGGACAGAGGGATGGAGGGACAGAGGGACAGAGGGATGGAGGGACAGAGGGACAGAGGGATGGAGGGACAGAGGGACAGGAGGACGGAGGGATGGAGAGACAGAGGGATGAAGGGACAGAGGGACGGAAGAACGGAGGGACGGGAGGACGGAGGGATGGAGGGACAGAGGGACGGGAGGACGGAGGGATGGAGAGACAGAGGGATGAAGGGACAGAGGGACGGAAGAACGGAGGGATGGAGGGACAGAGGGATGGAAGGACGGAGGGATGGAGGGACAGAGGGACAGAGGGAGGCTCCACCATGAGTACATATGGGGCTATCAGACCCTTCCCTAGTGCTGTCCGTCAGGTTGTCCCGTTCTGGACTCCTCTGGACTCCGGAACTAGCCCATCTGGTCACCACCACTATACAATCCTCTAGAAGGAAACCAATCTCCTCCCATGAATGTCTTTAATTCTTACTTATTGAGTCACCCCTCCCCACTTGCACACTTACTGACCCCCTCCTTCACACATGCACTAGGACATGCATCCTTTCAAGCATTCTGTCCTTCGTCGTCGTGTGTGCTCTAATTCACCTCTCAGTTACTCACTGGCCAAGTGCTTACTGAACACATCTTATAATAAACAGGAGAGATGCAGAGCTGAGCAAGGCCCAGGCCTTGTCCCCGAGAAGGGAGTAGAGATACATGTCTACTGAGAAGGGAGTAGAGATGCAGGTCTCAGAGGGTAGGAGGAGACGGGAGCTGTGTTAGGATTCTCTACAGAAACAGAACTGCTGGGTGGTGATGGCGCACGCCTTTAATCCCAGCACTTGGGAGGCAGAGGCAGGCGGATCTCTGTGAGTTCAAGGCCAGCCTGGTCTACAGAGTGAGTTCCAGGACAACCAGGGCTATACAGAGAAACCCTGTCTCAAGAACAAAAAATGATAGAATGAATATATAATATGTTAAATAATTTATTTATTACAGTGGCTTACGGCCTGTGGTCTGGCTAGTCTTGCAGTGGCTGCCTCGCCACAGAAAGGCCGAGAACCTCATAACTGCTGGATGTCTCAGCAGTCCCAATCTGGTGCTGGACTCCTGGAAGATTCCTGGAGAGCTACTTGCCTTTCATCTAAGTTGGAATCCTGAAGAAGTTAGATTTGCTACTGGCCGCAGCAACAAGATAGACAACTTTGCCGGTAAAAGGGGGGCGGGACAGGCAAGGACAGGGCCAAGCTGCCCTCCTCCATGTCCTTTTACCTGCAATGCCACCAGAAGGTGTGACCCAGACTTAGGGTAGATCTCCCTGTTTCAAATCATCTGATTAAGGAACTCCCTCACAGGAGTGCCCAGCAGCTTGTGTTTTTAGTTGATTTCAGATGTACTCGTGTTGACAACCAAGACTAGCCATCACAGGGACCACAAAGATACAATGTGGCAGGATCTGGGTGCTTGAGGATTTATAGAATGGCTATCTGCCAAACACCACAAGGTTCTGTTCCTGACAGAGTACACTGTTGTTGACACGGAGGCCGGAATCACACACGCACCAAAGTTGGTGTGTGGAGGTGAGGAAGGCACATGCAGAGGCCGTGGGAAGTCGGGGAAGGCTTCCTGCAGGAGGTAAACGAAGAATACTAGCAAAGTGCCCATAGGCTCCTTTGGTTATCACAGGCCCCGCCCCATCCCACCTCACCCCAGCCCAGCCCAGTCATTTTGTTTGTTTGTTTGGTTGGGTTTTTGTTTTGTTTTGTTTTGCTTTGCTTTGCATGTTTTAAGACAGGGTTTCTCTGTGTAGTTTTGGTGCCTGTCCTGGAGCTCGCTCTGTAGACCAGGCTGGCCTGGAACTCACAGAGATCCGCCTGCCTCTGCCTCCCGAGTGCTGGGATTAAAGGCGTGCACCACCACCACCACCACCACCCGGCCCATTTTTTAGGAGTTAGAACACTGGAAATCCAATCATCTAAGATCACAATAGCAATGGCGGAACAAGATTAGAATCAATGACTGAGTCAAAAGCCACAGACTTTCAAGTTCACCCAACTGCTTCCTACCCCGGGGCAGGGGTGGAGCAGGCAGCCATCCACCTCCCCACAGTAGAGAAGAAGAAAATTTTCCCCTCTAAACATAGTGTGACGAGATGATTTTGCTTATTTATTTGATATATGATTTATGTTCAGTAAGATGCACAGGTTTTAAGTGAGCAGTTTAATATGCTTAAAAAGTGTATACCCCAGATAACCAGCACATAAATCAGGATATGGAATAAATATTCCCATTGCCTCAGAAAACCCCCACTGGGTCTACCATGCTCTCATTTCTGCCACTGTGGATTCACACAGATGGTTCTAGAACTTACATCAATGACCTTAATTGCATGCACGGTTTCTCTCCTTTAAGGTAATTAAGAGCAGGTTTCATATAGGGCACTCCCTAAGAAATCTCTAAACGCAGTGAGGTCAAAGGCCACCAAATTCTGGCTTACTGCTGACTACAGACCACCCAAGTCCCTTCTTGCCCACCCGAACTCTCTGTTAGTCAAAGATGCAGACCTTCCATGCTCTGTCCTATTACCTCTTTTTGCATAAAAGGGACATCCTCAGCCTGTGCTGGTTATTGGGTGACTCCCTCCAGCCTCCCAAGCAAGAGAGGGCCCATTCCCGTCAGCCTCAGGATTCCTCCCATCTTCATGCCTGCCTCATGCCTCCAGGAAGAGGATTCAAAACTGGCCCAGGGAAGCCCACCCACTTCCTCGGAGTCCTGGACGCCATCTTGTATCTGGCTTTCTCTAAGGTGGATACAGTCTTTTCCAGGGTCTCTGGCTTCACCTCAGCTTCTGTGTGAACCTGCCCCTTGTCTCTGTCAAAGCCATCATCTCCACATCCCTGTTTCCCACATGGAGTATCTGCTCCCTTGAAGGGCAGGGATGCTCTGACTCACCAAATAAGCATGCCAGCTCAGAGAACCAGCCTTGTAGATCAAAGGCAGGACATCGGGCATTCCCCAAGGAGAAGAACAAACCCTCAATTATATTTTCACCACCTGGGAAAGTGACCTTTGTACATCAGAATATATAGTAAGGTTTTCTGGCACAGGGTGTCTGGTAAGGCTGTGGGAATTCTCCAAGAGTATGTAACAGTGGGTACCACTGAAGTGGTCTAGGCCTGGGGGGGCGCGTAGGAGGGGAGTGCTGTGGATGATTGATTGATAAATAAAACACTGATTGGTCAGTAGCCAGGGACTAGCAGAGAGGAGAATTAGGAGAACAGGAAGGCGGAAAGGAGGAGACACCAGCCTGCTGTCCAGGGAGCATCATGTAAAGGCAGCAGGTAAAGCCACGAAACACATGGGGACATATAGATTAACAAAAATGGGCTGAGTATAAGAGTAAGAGCTAGACAATGATAGGCCTGAGCTAATGGCTGAGCAGTTTAAATAATATAAGCGTCTGTATGTTTATTTTATAAGTAGGCTACGGGACTGCCAGGGCTTGGCGGGACCCGGAGAGGAAAACTCTAGCTACAGGGGAGCACTCAGGTCTCAGTGCCTCTGAATACCCCAGTGTCTTCCCCTAAAATATACTGTAACAAAGCTGGAGCCTCCAGGGATGGTTGATTGAATATTTTTAATTGATGTCCTAGACATCCCAAAATAACTATCTGCAGTTCAGGCTACCTGCTCTCCAGGCAGCTCAGTACTAAAGTGCCCAGTGGTATCCTTCCAACACACCCAGGAAAAAGACTCAGACTCTGACCCACCGATTATTTTCACCAGAATAAAAGCAGGAGCTGAGGCAGGATAGATGTTTCGGCTCTAGTGTGTATCAGTCAGTCAATCAACAACCACTCAGGTACCCTTCAGGGCAAGCACTGATTGCATCCACTCTGCTTTTACCATCTGCTCCTCCTATCATTTCCCATAATGTGCTTGATAACTATCTCTCTATCTATCTGTCTGTCTGTCTGTCTATCTCTATCATCTCTCTCTCTCTCTCTCTCTCTCTCTCTCTCTCTCTCTCTCTCTCTCTCTCCCTTCTCTTCTTCCTCACCCTGTCTCTTCTTCCCCCATCTCTCCCTCTCCCCCTGCCACTCATTCAACAAAGATGGACCATTCTTGAGAAGCAAGTTGGTGCTGAAGAGCCCCCCAGTCTGGGTTTGAACCTCAGTTCTCCTACTTACTAGTTTGCGGATATGAGTCTCATGTACCATATCTGTAAACTGGCAACAATCCAATACTCTCATGAGCTGCTGCAGAGGGCGGATGAGGTCCCAGCACCAGGCTGTGGGGACTTGGAAGGGTCCTTTCTCTTAGAGTTTAATTCCTTCATTGGGGTGGAGATGATGGCTGCCTCTATGGCACAGCATCTAAAATGATATTAATTAGAAAAGTATTTGGTTTTTGCTTTTTTTTTTTTTTTTTTGGTTTTTCAAGACAGGGTTTCTCTGTGTAGTTTTGGAGCCTGTCCTGGAGCTCGCTCTGAAGCCCAGGCTGGCCTCGAACTCACAGAGATCCGCCTGCCTCTGCCTCCCAAGTGCTGAGATTAAAGGCGTGTGCCATCACTGCCCGGCTTGCTTTTATTTTTGTTTCAAGACAGGGCCTGTCTGTGCGGCCCTAACTTGCCTGAAACTCACTATGTAGACTGTAGTCGGACTTTGCTTTGGGCCACCAGCTCACAAATAATGACCCAGAGACTTATCATTAATTATGAAAGCTTGGCCTTAGCTTAGGCTTGCTCCCAACTAGCACTTATAACTTAAATAAACCTGTTTTTATTCATTTACATTCTACCACATGTTATTTACCTCCCCTCCATTCTGTATGTCTGACTCCCTCCATGTCTGGATGGTGTCTCCCACCGCTCTCTTCTTCCCAGAGTTCCTCTCTCTCCCCGGAAGTCTCACCTATTTTCTCCTGCCTAGCTATTGGCCACTCAGCTCTTTATTTAATCAATCACAGAGACATATCTTCTTCACACAGTGTAAACAAATATTCTACAACAGTAGACCAGGTTGGCTTCAAATTCCCAGAGATACGCTTGCCTCTGCCTCCCTCGTGCTAGGATTAGAGGAGGGTTACCCATGAGTGTTTGGCCACTTTGGTCTACATAGTAAACTCAACACCAGGCCTAGACTGTAAGACCCTGCCTCAAACAAAACAAGACAAACAGCCCCAAAACAACCCTAAACAGTATATTGCAAGCAAGGCATGGTGGCATGTGCCTGTAATCCCAGCACTCAGAAGGATCACAATTTGGGGCCAGCCTGGGCTACATAGTGAGATCTTGTCTTAGGGAAAGCAGATATATTGAGGAAGCTGCACACATCTTATTGCAATAAAGGTATTTGTGGTCACTACTTCTTCAGAGAAACTCTGAACTCCCAAGTCCACCCATTGCTCAACAGATCGGGAACACGCTGCCCCTGAGCTGTCCTTCTTCCTCAAGAAACCCAGGAGCCCTTTGATGAGTAGGGGCACTGGTACTGGGTGATCATAAACATGGCATCTTCCTGGGCTCCAACCTCAGGATCTGTGAAATGACCACAATAAAAGCATTGGCTTTGTGGGTTATTCACACATACCCTGGCACAAGGTGAGGCTCACTTATTGCTCTGCTGCACAATGTGTGGGGTTGGAAAGATGGTGCAGAGGTTAAGAGCACTGGCTGCTCTCCCGGAGGTCCTGGGTTCAATTCCCAGCAACCACAACCATCTGTAACTCCAGTTTCAGAGAATCCGATGCCCTCTTCCGCCTCCATGGGCACCAGGCATGTGACACATATGTGATGCACAGACATACATGCAGGGAAAACACCTATACACGTAAAATAAAAATCAATAAATTCTTAAAACAACCACACTGCCCAAGTTCTGGGCACAGGGGTGAATAGATCATATTCAGACTTTGGGATATTTATGGCTTGGCAGGAGGTGGGCAGTCCTTAGAAAGCACTGCGTCAAAACAACTGGTGGTGATCCTGCAGCCCTCAGGGCAGGGTCCTCTCAGGCAATAACCTGCCACCCAGGGGCTGGGCCTCAGGGCAGTCCTGATCCAGCACCAACTGCCCCCTTCCTGGAGGCGGAGACTGAGTCCCTGAGTGCACAGGAGTAGTGTTCGCCTGCGCTACATCAGTGTCTGCACACTCCAGCCAGCACCATGAAGGCAGACGGCAGCAATTTCCTACATAAAACATCTTTATGGACTTGCAAATGCCAGACTCTCAAGTTCTCTCTCTAGAGTGGACTTGCCTGAGTAAGCTATGCTGCCCCACAGAGGCCCCTAAACCAAAGGCTGGGTGGCGTGGTAATTGTCACCCATAGGCCTAGCTAGAAGTCTAGTGGGACTGAGGTAACAGTCAAGCTTGAAGATGGTCCCTGCCCTCTCTCTCAGGCACTGTGCAGCTTGGATATCTGCACACTTGTGCGTGAACTCCCTAAACCTCCTTCAAACGTACACTGTCTAGGGGATTCCTACACCAGTGGTCCAGCTGCTTCCTTCCCGCTTCCTTTCCAGGAACTGCACATCTGCATAGCAATTACAGCAAGACTCCAAGGACCCTGTGTCCTGTGCTCAATGAACAGCAGCACTGACTGGATCAGCCATGCACGACCCACCACAGTCCAGGTCAATCAGAGTCCCTCCCTACGAATCTGGATTTGGAAAGAGATTCTACCGTGGTCTTGACTTCGCATTAGCTTCAGATCTGCTAGAGGTGTCCTTTCTCGCCATGCACTGAAGCATGTACAGAAAGCCCATCTGCAACAAGAGAAAAGAAAGAATCTGATCCACAAAGAGAAGGCCCATTGCATCCCTGCCCCTGGGTTCCAAGAGCCCATTAAGATTCTTTGCACAGGTTCCTCTTGTTTGTTTTGAGTTGGTCCTATTACTTAAAGCCAATAAAGAGGTCATGCAGTGTGACACAGCTGTTCCTAACTAGGGGTGGTTTTGTTGCCAGGGGACATTTGGGACTATCTGGAGGTATTTGGGGTTATGAAAATGGGGAGGAAGGGCACCACCATCACACCATCATCTAATGGTCAGCCAGGGATGCTGAGCCATCTCACATATCAGGACAGATCATACAGTTAGGAATCATCCAGTGCAAGATGTCAAGAATTGTCAAGTGCTGTTGTCAAGGGCTCCTGGTGACTGACTGAAGACACGGTGCCTCAATGGTGAGGCACTTGCCAGCATGTGCATGGCCCCAGCACCCAGGACAAGCAAGACAGGAGCCCTCTTGTGCTTTACTTTTCCATTTTGAATATTATTTTGTCTTGAATGACAGTGTTCTGGTGGGGAGAATTCTCATACCTTCCACAGCAGAGCCCTGCAGATTAGTGCCACCGCTCTGAAGAACCTTTAGTCTACATAGGGCCCTTAGCATTCCACTCCTAAACCTGTGAATTATCTGGTAGAAATAATCTTTGGTAGAAAATCTTAAGTCTGAGACTCATACAAGGATTGATGCAGAAGGATGTTCAGGGCAGCTCTATTTAGATTGTCAATAAAAGGAACCAAAAGACTAGAGAGATGGCTCAACAGGTTAGAGCATTTCTGTTCTTGCAGAGGACCTGGGTTCAATTCCCAGTAACCACATGGTAGTTTAACTGTAACTCCAGTTCCAAGGGGATCCAATATTCTCTTGTGACCTCTGTGGGCACAGGCATTCACATGGTGCACATACATCCATGCAGGCAAAACATTCATACACATAAAATTAAATAAATAAATAACCAACCAACCAATCAAACTAACAAAAAAAAACAAAAAACAAAAAACAAAAACAGGCTGGAGAGATGGCTCAGAGGTTCAGAGCACTGGCTGCTCTTCCAGAGGTCCTGAGTTCAATTCCCAGCAACCACATGGTGGCTCACAACTATCTCTAGTGGGATCTGATACCCTCTTCTGGCATAAAGGTGTACATGCAGCTAGAGCACATAAAATAAATCTAAAAACAAAAACAACACAGAAGCAACACAAATATCCAGCTCTGTCACCTGAGTCATGTTGCATTCATACATTGTGAATTCATACATGGTGAATTCATACATGAGGCATTTATACATGGTGAATTCATACATGAGGCATTCATACATGGTGAAATTCATCAAACATTTTCTACAGCTATTTCAAAGGAATGGACTAGTTTTTGTTTTCATATATTTAAAGTATGTTTCCAATTTTCCTACAGTAAATATGTATTACTTTCCTAAATTTTCTATTTCATGCCTGTGGGTGTCTTGCCTGCATGTATGTCTGTGTACCACTTGCATGCCTGGCGACCAAGAACTCCAGGAGAGGGCATGGGCTGCCATGTGGGTGCTGGGAACTGAACCCCGGTCCTCTGGAAGAGCAACCAGTGCTCAACTGCTGAGCCAGCCCTACAACCTCATATATTACTTTTCTAACTAGAGTTTTAATACTAAAAGAAATGACTGGCACTAGAATTGGGGGCAGTCTAGCCGTGGTGCTTTATCCAAAAATAAACACGTGCCAGACATTGTAAACAGGAGTGAATGGGGTGCCTGTCCCCAGAGCGCTTTGGGTGGTGAGGAGGAGTACTGAGAAGTTTTTAGCCACCTGCAAATTCACTGTCACAGAAAGAGGTGGTTTCACAGGTGACAGTGTGTGTTGAGAGTTCAGTAGCTATCGTGATCAGACACGCTCTAGTCAAGAGTGTCAACAGAGGACAGCGGCCAGTTCAGTCAAGATCCATGTTCGGATGCCAGAGTCCATCAGCTGTCTATTCTACTCCCATGGTCAGGAGAGGATTCTGTGAGCATGGTGCACTGGCAGACAGGTCATTTCCATGGGGTGGAAAAGCAGGCATCACCCAGAGAGATTTCAGGGTCAGGACACACAAAAGGAAAGGTTCATGCAGGGAACAGCGAGGCCACAGGTTGGGCATCTGGTGGCAGGGCCAATGGTTAGATTCTCTGTAGTGTGGAAGCTGGCCCGACCCAGGGCTGGGCAAAGAGATGGTCACAGATGCAGTCTCAATGGCCAACAGGAAGGAAGAGAGGAGAAAGCGACAACCATCGGGGGAAAAAAGTCTTTATTGCAGGCTGACATAACTGCAGCTCTGGCCAACAAGGAAACTCCCCCTACTCCCTCAGCCCCCAAGACTAGTACGTTAGGGAACCCAGAATGTGGGAAGCAGGGTAAGAACTGTGTCAACACTACAGATCCAATCCTGGGGACATGGAGACAGAAGTGAACCAGGATTTGTAAAGTCTCCCGGGTCTGACTCTTCCCTGAAGTGACATCAGGGAGGCCCCTGCCTTAGTGGTGACCACGAAGCCAGGCTGGCTATCAAAGGGCCAAAGCTAGAGCACAACTGACCGGCTTGGTAACCAGCCGCACAAACTGGAATAGGCCTTGAGGCTAGTAGATGCCTGTGGCCGGGTACCCTGGGTCGCTTTCCCTGGAAGGCCCTGGTTTTTACTGCTTTAATAGCTAGCCAAAAAGCTCCACTCGAAGAAAGTCACTGCTGTTGGTGGGGACATTCAGGTCCCCTCTGTGACATGCAAGCTCGTGTGGAGAAAGTTTTAGGACAGCCCCAGCTGGCTTTCGCTGTCTGCTTCTTTGCTTGGTTCAGGACTATCTGGGGTTGGAGATTTACCTGCTTCTTTGCTCGGTTCAGGACTATCTGGGGTTGGAGATTTCTAGAAGAATACATTGCCAAACATCCAGTGCAGAACCTGGGTAATCTGCCTGTCACAGGGTCAGACATATATCCTACACACACACACACACACACACACACACACACACACACACACACACACACACACATCCCAAACATGTCTTTACTTCCATCACTCAGGGAAGTGAGGAAGTCAGCGATCTCCCTCCTCCTCAAGTTCTCTCTGGGCCTCCCCTGCTCAGAAGGGTGGTGTCAAGATAACACAGGTAAACAGACCTCTTAGGAACAGCCAGCGGGCTGAGAGAGGGCTCAGAGGTGAAGAGCACTCACTCCTTGCTCTTCCAGAGACTTGCCTTGGATTTCCAGCCCTGACGTGGCCATCTATTTGAATAGATCGGTTCTAAAGGACCCAGTGCCCTCTTCTGGCCTCTATGGGTACTGCATGAAACTAGCACAGGTAAAACACAAAAACGGGTATTTTTGGTTTTTTTTTTTTTTTTTTTAGAAATAGCCAGCTCCTGCTCGTTGCTGCTCCTGCTGCAGTTAGGCTAATTTGAGATATAGATGTAAAATGCAAAGCGTCCCATGTTCAAATCAAAACTGCTGTTTCACTCATCGCTCCCTCGACGGGAGCAGCAAAAGACCAAACACATCCCATCCCAGATGTCCATGGTAGCCTGGTGCCCCTAGTTCACAAAGCCCAGCCCTGACTCATCCCTCCTGGGACCTCCCATGACCCTCCTCTCAATTTGCATATGCTCTTCTCTGTATTTTCTGCTTTTGCTTCGCCCTAACCCACCACCAATTCCTTGGACACAGACAGGGTGTCTTGACCTTTTTTTTTCTAGTATGGTGCTGGGAACCGAACCCAGGGCTTGCACAAGCTAGGATCCCATTGTACCGAGGGGTCACACCCCCAGCCAGGCATGTTATTGATGATTCAGCAAATGTGCATGAAGTTTTGTTTGTTTGTTTGTTTGTTTGTTTTTCAAGACAGGGTTTCTCTGTGTAGCCCTGGCTGTCCTGGAACTTGCTCTGTAGACCAGGCTGGCCTCGGAGATCTGCCTGCTTCTGCCTCCCGAGTGTTGGGATTAAAGGCGTGCACCACTATCGCCCAGCTCAAGGATTTTAATGAATGAGTAAATAACAGAATGTCTATGGATCATTTTTTACAGTCTTGGGAAGGATCGTTATTAATAGTTTACTCCAGGGTTTCTCATTAATCACCCACTAATCTCCACTAGGCTGTATGGGGCCTTGTAATGGAGTCCTGCCCTTGAGGACCTCACAAGGGAAAAGAGAGAGAAGTTGCAATGTAACCTTATCACTTAGAAATTACAAAACCTGGTGTGGTGACGCAATCCTTTAATCCCAGCACTCAGGGGGCAGAGGCAGGCAGATCTCTGAGTTCGAAGCCAGCCTGGTCTACAGAGTGAGTTCCAGGATGGCCAGGGCTACATGGAGAAACCCTGTCTTGAAAAACTAAAAAAAGAAAAAAGAAAGAAATTATAATAACACAAACTTATTAACACAAATGTGTGCCAGAAAGGACTGGCTCTGAGCTGTGGTGGTGTGGCCAGGGATCCTCCTGATGGGAAGGACCCTGGAGCTCTGCCTTGTCTGGGACCCAGCTCTCCAAGCCCCACCCACTTGGGTCTATCCTCTGCCTCTAACTCCCTTTCTGCCCTGTCGCAGACACTCCCGCTCTGGCTACCAAGGTGTCACAAGGCCACATTAACCTGTGTTGCCCCTCGCCTAGGCCTCACCATCTGCAGAGGTTATGGGTAGCTGAAGCTGTAAGACCAGGATCCCCAGACACTCTTTGGCACCCACCACGCCCTGGACTGAGTAGTCCTGGTTCTACTGAAAGACCCCCGAAGGTAGTCTTCCCTCTGGAGAGACCCTCGCCCAGAGATCACACCGAGACCACAAGTCAGATGCAAACAGCAAGAGGCTTTATTCCGGAACACGGGTACCCGGGGCGACACAGTCACTCCAGAAGCTCAGGAGGCTGGCGCGCCCACGGGCTGGAGTGGAGGGTTTTTATATGGTCGGGCAGCAGAAGGGCGGGTTTACAGGGTTCTGATTGGACGATTCATATGAGGCCATGGTTTACAGGGTTCTGATTGGACGACTCATATGAGGCCATGGTTTACAGGGTTCTGATTGGACGACTCATATGAGGCCATGGTTTACAGGGTTCTGATTGGACGACTCATATGAGGCCATGTTTTACAGGGTTCTGATTGGACGATACATATGAGGCCAGGTTCAAGCTCAGGACAGCTCGTGGTTTTTCCCCGAGCTCAACACGCCTGCTGACTTGGCTCTTATCTAGGGTACAAGTTGTTTTTCTGACCTTTTAGTTCCCTGTTCTGGGGCCAGGTGGCCGACCGCAGATACCCTGTTTGTTCCTGTGCCCATGTCCTCTAACTGAACTTTCCCCGTACTTTTCAGGCCTTGCTCAAAATGGCGTTAGGCTAAGCAAGTATGCTGGGGCCTTTCACTACGACCCGCTATGTGGCCTTGCATATTCACTTTATCCCAGCCACTTTATACTCAGCTTCCCAGAGTACAGAAAATGAACAACAGTAGTCAGCGAGATGGCAACATTTACAGGAAAGAGAACTGGGCATGATTTCTAAAGCCCTCAGAAGATGACTAAGCCATTAAGAGCAATTGCTACTCTCCAGGGAACCTGGATTCCGTTCCCAGAACCTGTGTGGTGGCTTACAACCACCTGTGACTCCAGTTCAGGGGATCCAACCCCCTCTTCTGACCTCTGAGGGTACCAGGCATGCACAGGGTACACATACATACACGCAGTCAAAATGCTCGTACATGTAAAAAATAAAATAAATCTAAAGATTTCTCAATAATGTAACTGTTTACCTCTAGGGCCCCTAAAATTCCAGTTCTGTGGGGGCTAGACGAGATGGTTCAGAGGTTAAGATACTGGCTGTTCTCCCAGGCCACCCGAGTTCAATTCCCAGCACCCACGTGGTACCTCATAGCAGTTCCAGGAGATCCACAGACACAAGGCACAAAAATGTTACCCAGACTATATGCAAACAAAATACCCATACACATAACCCCAGGACTGTGCAGCTAGGGCTGGGTTTGGCCTGGGCTGAGTGGGTTTGTTTACTCAGACATTTCATGGGCCCTCATTCTGGATTCCAGAGTCTGACCTCCCATATTATACAGGTACATTTCAGAATATTTTCTATGTACCTGAGTGAAGAATTAAATGAACTTATGAATCTATTGGGAAAATTATCATATTTTAGCCTCTAGTCCAATAAGACACAGAGGCAAGTCTAGTTACCCCAGTGGAAGAAACCAAATCCAGGGAAGGGAAGTGATTTGCCAAGGTCATCAGCAAGCTAGTGGGACACCCCAGACCAAATCCATACCATCCTCTACCACATGGAGACGTTTACCATCTACTAGTCTGTCAGCACTCAGTATCCAGAGTTGTACCAAAGGCCTTTCTAGTTAATTCAGGTATTTGTCAGGTTTGGGGAAGACAGTTCTGGAAGATGGTCCTAAGTGTCGAAAACTGTGGGCTGGAGAGCTGGCTTAGTGGCTAAGACATCTTGCCGTGACATCATGAGGACCAGGGTTCAGATCCCAACATCCATGTAGCAAGTTGGGCATCCCATGCACACCTGTGACCCCAATTCCAAAGGAGACTGAGACGAGAGGATAGATGGTATTTGCTGGGGTCTAGCTTAGCCAAGAAAATGTGAACCCCAAGTTCAGGGAGAGACCCTGACTCGAAGAAATAAGCTGAGGGTGACAGAAGAGAGCACTGGATACCTTCTTCTGCCTTCATGCTCACATAGGTGCACACACACACACACACACACACACACACACACACACATACATGAATGCATGCACTCAATAATACATATAAATAAATCTTTTTTTGAAGGGAGAAAAAAATGTCTATTGCTCCCAGGGAATGGATCTAACAAGTATGCAATCTGGAAACTCTGAGACATGGAGGTCATTTTCCCTCTTCAGGTCTCCCTATCCTCCCCTGTGGAGAGCAAGCAGCTGTCCTCACAATCTCTAAAGTCCCTTCTACCCTAACTGTCATCCTCAGGGCTCCTGAGCACTGAGGGAGGAGGGTGAAAGGCGGAATCTAAAACCCAGCCTTCCCTCCCTCCATGCAGCCCCCGCCATCTTGCTTCCTGTTTCCATGAAGTCCTGTCCAGCCCCGGCTGTCAGCACTCCAGCTGGCTGGGGTCAAGGGAAGGGGCCACTGCCTGCACTCTAGCAGCCCTGTGCACCTGCAGGGCAGGTGTGGACCCTGTGACTTGTTCTGCACTCTGTGTCGGTCAGCTGTTGTTGCTTCATCAGAGGACCCGACGGAAGCAAGTGCAAAGAAGAAAAGGGTTTTTTTGTTTGTTTGCTTGTTTGTTTTTGGTTTTTCAAGACAGGGTTTCTCTGTGTAGCTTTGCACCTTTCCTGGAACTCACTTGGTAGCCCAGGCTGGCCTCGAACTCACAGAGAGCTGCCTGGCTCTAAGAAAAGATTTCTTTTGCTCACAATATCAGGGGCTTCAGGCCATTGTGGTGGGAAGTGGGGGGAGGATGTGGTGGGAGAAGGGTGTGGTGGGGGGAAGGGTATGAAAGAGAAGGGTGTGGTGGGGGGAGGGTGTGTGGGAGAAGGGTGTGGTGGGGGGAAGGGTGTGGTGGGAAGAGTATGACTGAGAACAGCTCTCGCTCTCTGTCTCTCTCTTTTTTTTTTTTTTTTTTTTGTGTGGAGCTGAGGATTGAACCCAGGGCCTTGCCTTTGCTAGGCTAAGCACTACCACTGAGCTAAATCCCCAACCCCAAGAACAGCTCTCATAATGGAGGCAGAGAGGTCTGCTTTCTCTTTTCCTTTTATTCTTTCCAAGCCCACAGCCCACCGCATGATGCATCCACATTCAAGGCAGCTCTCTCCCTCTCTCTGTCTCTGTCTCTGTCTCTGTCTCTGTCTCTCTCTCTCTCTCTCTCTCTCTCTCTCTCTCACACACACACACACACACACACACACACACACACACACACACACACACACACACATATCCCTCTAGGAATGACAACAGCCCCACCCTAAGGCATGCTTTGTGTCTTAGGAGCTTCTCAGTACAATCTAGTTGACAAGAGCAACCGCTACATACAATAACATCCTGTGTCCTCTCTCCTCCCATCCTCCAACCACAGGAGCCCAGAGAGGCCAATGTAAAAAAAACAGCCAGAAACTCTTTGCTGAGAGGCTTGGGTACCAGGGAGAAGACCTCAGGCCTCTGCCTCCTGGAGTCTCTCGGTTCTGTATGTGCTGTGGCCCTTCTTTCTGTGGGAACTGGAGAACAGTCAGGCCAGCCTGCCTGAGGCAGGTACCAAAGCCTAGAACCTCTCAGCGACTGGCCCAGGCTCAGGATGAGGCATTCAGTCTCCTGTAGA